TACGGCGCTGTAAGGCACGATTCGGAGGCAGTTAATCCCATTCCCTCTCATAAAGCCTCTAAAGCCTTCCTCCTTCCACATCCTGACAAGACTCCGCCAGACTCCCTTATACTGACCATCTGACGTTTGCGGTTGCACTTGTCTGGTAGCGCAAAAAGAGTTTGTAAGATCGAGCGGTGCCCGGAGAAAAGAATGCAGCGGTGATCCGAACAGACGGAGATTGAATCACCATGCAGGGACTCACTGGATGATTTTGAGCCTTTCTAAAGGACTAACGACCGTGCGTGAAGCAGCCCCGGCAGCTCCACCTGCGACAAAGTATGATGCTATCTCTGGCATCCAGAACCTTTGCTTTTGTCCGTTCACAGCTGCCATACTGTGGGAGATTTTCGGCTGTGAAGATTGTGACGACTGTGTGGATGTCATGAGAGCTTGCGCAAAAAGTGCATGAAGAGAGTGATTAAGGGTTGTATATGATAGGAACGTGAAAGGGAACGGGTGAAGCAAAACACAGGGCTCAGCCTGTGGTGCTATGTATACGGACAAGTACTTGGTGTGTGTGCAAATGAACGTTCGTCTTGATCGGTGTGGCGAACAGAAGCATCACGTGATTCAAATTTGGAGCACAAGGTTGGCACAAGGCCTGAACTTTCTTGTTCAACGTTTGGAAGTTTGAACAGCTAACGGAATGGAAACAAAACAAAATTCTACAAAGCGACCGTATTTACAAGACATAATGAACTATCCAACTCTGGGCTTCTTTCTGGCAGAACCTCCCTGACCACCTGAGAAGCTTCCAACGGCTCCCCCACTAACGCTACCGAAACTAGCAGTACTACCTGGTTTGGATTGTTGGGAAAGATTTACCTGAGACTGCTGTGATAGGTGCTGCCCTTGAGCCTGGCCATGCCCCGGAGCTACTTGCGACAGTGTCTGTGCCTGTGTGGGTGCAGGTATGCCCATCATAGATGGTGCCTCATCTTGAGTGATTCGCCGTTGAGGCGGCAGATGGTGAGCGGAAACAGGAAAAAACACGCTACATTATTGTGAGCGACAACGAGGAGCTACATGAAAACAGGCTGCATGTGACGTACTTTCTTGTCGGCCGAAGATCTTCTTGAAACCATTTGTGTGCAAGCGCTTCTTTGGCCGTTAAGCGCTTATCCGGATCGTACGCGAAGAGCTGGCGAATGAGATCATAGCCTTGCTGCGAACGGATGCGTGTTTGGCACCACTCAGCGAGGCGATTTGGGTACCTGTAATAATTTCGGTCCAAGGCCATTCCGGATGCAAGGGAAACAATTCACGTGTCAAGGCGTTTCATATTCTGATACTCCGGCATGTCTTTGAGGCCTGACCAATCCTTTTCTAAAAGAAGTGAGAAAAACGCACTGGTAAATATGCCGCCTCTTACCAGCTGGTGTTCCAAGAACCTCGAAAATCTTGAGTAGCTGATCGCGCTGAAAAGGGACATTTTTCTTAGAATCTAATTTTGCCTCCTCGCCCTTGAATATCGGCCGGAGACTCGCCAACTCAGCGAAGACGCATCCGACAGCCCAACAATCTACTGCCTTGTTGTAATGTTTTGCACCTAATAGGAGTTCGGGAGCTCGGTACCAGATAGTGACAACAACTTTGTCACCCGCAAAGAGCGGCTGAAGCGGTTGGTATATTAATCGTGCAAGTCCCAGATCTCCTATTTTCACCACACCAGATGCAGTGATAAGGATATTGGCAGGCTTAAGGTCCCTGTGAAGGATATGTGCAGAGTGAAGGTATACCAGGCCATTGAGAAGCTGATAGATCAGGGACTTGAGAACTTGTGATGCGATCTGTATCCGAAGGGTTTGCGAATAGTGATGTATTACTTGCTGCGCCAAAGCGTGGTCAAAGAAACAACTCAAAATATTAGACAGACGGGACGTACAAGAAAATCATGTTCAGCATATTCGAAAACCATGTATATCGACTTGTCTTCTAGGATAACCTCCTTGAGAGCAACAACATTCTCATGAGAGATTTCTCGATTCAGCTAGATGAGTAACTGACCGCTGAAGCCTTCTGATGCAGAACAAAATGAACAAGCTTACTGCGATTTCTCGAATAGCGCTCTGACTGATACCAGTATATGTGACAACATCTCCTTCTTTGTCTGGTTTAAACTTTTTAATCGCATGGATCTGCCCGTCCGGCTCCAGGCTCTGCGCCTTGTACACGCGACCATACGTTCCTGAAGATATGAAACCAAGGATGGTGTACTTGGACGTGACAGCCTGGTGTAGGCGGTCGCGTTTATGACGATAGAAGCGCATTGGATCAGATTGGAGGAGCGTGTGCGACCATTCTTCATGCATTGTGAACTGATTTATAGCTGAAAATTGTGCTCAAGTGATAATGGCTTCATCAAGACGTAGTGGATCATATATAGCTCACGCTGTCATCGTATACGTAGATCCATCGGAATTCGGATTCATTCTCTCTTCATCACATCCGTTCTCAAAGACTCGTCATATCTCGTGTTGACCTCGAAGTTATACGAAAACGTGATGCGTGAAGCCGCCGCCGCCGGGTCCTGGCACAGTAATGGCTCTCCACCTCAGGTCCGTGAGACAGCTGGAGCAACTCGTCCCTATGAGCCAATTCGCGTACCAAGCGACGAGTCTTGTGGTCCATCTTCCTACCGTCCTTCTGTACTTGCTAGCGAACGCGTCCTTCTCTGGACCACCCCTCACGGCGTCACTTTTCAAAATCAGCTAGAACAACTTTATCCAGAGTCCTATGTAGTCAAATTATTCTTTGTCATGGCAGAATCCCTTGACGAACGCACCCGCAATGACTACGGTGCAGGCCTACTACATTTTAATCAATTCTGTGATCGTCTCTCCATATCGGAACAAGACCGCATGCCTGCCTCTGAGGTCCTTCTTTCCATCTTCATTGCAGATGCTGCCGGTTCTATCTCCAGTAGCACCGCGAACAATTGGCTTGCTGGCCTTCGCTTCTGGCATGTCATTAACGGCGCTCAGTGGCACGGTGAACGCTCAGAATGTCTTCGTCACGTCCAGCGTGGTCTTCGCCTTCTCGCCCCGCCAAACTTGAATCTCCAGCATCCTCCGATCACTCTCGAGTCGCTCATTCAGTTACACCAAGGCCTTGACTACTCTAATACCTTCGATACGGTAGTCCTAGCCATAGCTTGTCTCATTTTCTGGTGTGGTTGTCGGTACGACTTTCACTGTTTTTCTTTCACCCCCATCTGACTTGAAATACAACCAGTCTAGAGGAACTGGTCATTCCCACTTTTGATTCCTTTGATATGACCAAGCACGTAACCCGCTCTATCTTGCCCATTGTCACTCAAGAGTCAAACAATGTACGTCACTCGACCTTCCGCATACCATGGACCAAAACCACCGGTAATAACGGCGCCGACATCAATGTTACCTCCCGAGACCATCTTACATGTCCTCATGCAGCCCTCTTTCGTCACCTCGAGGCCAATCCCAACATTCCATTTCACGCTCCTCTCTTCTCCTTCCAGACCCCCACCGGTGCCTGGACTTCCATGACTGAACAGTGGTTCCTGAAGCGCTGCAACCAATTCTGGGGCCCCTGATAGGAATCGGCGGAGCCAGAGTTTCTCATAGACTCGGGGTGTGTTACCTCAGACGTAGTCACCACTAAAGACACTTTCTTAACCTATCAACGCCGCATCGCAGCCCTTAATGATCGATCCTGCTTTCTCGTATATCACTGCTCTCGTTCGCATACATTCAGTCATACAATACATACAACGTCATCGTATTTTGCTTCCCACTGCCGTATCACGCACTTCCCATTCACACATTTTGCACGAGAATCACCGTTTTCCGTCATCGTTGTCATGTATCAGTAGCATACCACATGGTAGAATGTCACAATTTGACCAGGCCTGGCGTTGCGTCGGCGAGGGTTACTTGAAGAGGAACTGATGCCGCTCGGGCCGCCGTACTCTCATTGAAGGTCTATGATCTAATTCCATTTCTGCACACTCGACTGCAACACGAAAGGCTAAGAGGGTGTGATTCAAGCGCAGTATATCCTACTCTAGCCTATCCTATGCTGTCAATCTTGACCCTCAAATGACTGAACCAATATATAGGTAGCATATAACAATTGATATCTTTCTACATGAAGTGAGTCTGCAATCAAGAAGATCCAGGACTTGCAGACATCACACGCACCGGGTCCGATACGAAAATAAGTTGCGTAAGACTGTAATCTAGTAGTGATCGTGAATAAGTAAGAATTGCGCAGCTACTGTCTAGATCTCGGGTATAAAAATTACGATTGACGTAGTCAGCGTGAAAGCATGCGGTGCATGTATTGGTAAACACTAAAAAGGCCTGGGTAAATCACCTGGTAGCTTGAATGTAATCAGGAGGGGGTGGGTTGTCCCTGATGGTTGCAGAAGCACTTTGCATTGATGCGCGTCGCTGCACTGGCGTAGATTTTGAGATGCCCATTGAATCGTCGGGCACTGGCAGCTGAAATATATTTTGCCGAGTACCTGGAGCTTCGGGTAGAGGGCGGCGTGAACTTCCCAACTACGAGAAGAGTTGAATGAAGTTGTTCGTGAAAGTGGAGACAAAATATGGCTCCTACCTCGTCAACCGGATATTGTGTTGTCGAGCTTACTACGACTTCGTCTACCGTGGGCATGCTAGAGCTAGGGATATGTAATCTATTTGCAGTACGAGGCGAACTCTGAGAATCGTATTCTGCCTGTTGATATGACTGCCATGAAGTGCCTCGGACCAAAGTATCTTGGTGGAGAAGACTAGCATTACTTCTTGTCTCCACTGAGGAAGAAGCACCCATATTAGCATTTCCCGGGGGATGTTGGGGCGTACGAATCTGATACAAGTCCTGCGACGCTGCCTGTGCTGATTTCCATCGCCGATAAAAGAAGAACGCAGCTGCCGATGCACAGAGAGCCACACCGAGAGCTACGACAATACCTGCAATAGCCCCGGAGCCTAAACTTCTGCCTCACGTATAAGTTATTGAGGTCGCTGAAAGTAATTTATCTCACGTTGAAGTTGAAACCGCATTGATGCTGCATACATCTAGTGGTCAACTGATTTGTGTGGGAAAAGTTGATTGACGTACGTACCTTGAAGTTCCTGACGAACCGCCGGAACTGGATGGACTTCCTGACGGACTGGAGCTTGAACTAGAGGAATTGGAACTTCCATTAATTAGCATCATGATGTGTGGGAATGTGCGAAATCAGCGCATAACCATACTCACCTTGATGTAAGCAGTGCATAGTCTATATTGAGTGTCTGTCCGTTTGTTTCAGGAAGGTTGACGAGGGTCACCTTGTGCTGACCAGAGCCAAGATTGTCTGCATGATAAAGCATCACTTCATAGAAAGTCAAATATGCGGTGGCATTGTACTGGGTGGGCTGTTGAGAGTCGAGAGAGACAGTATACAAACCGTTGCCAGGGCCCACAGTGCCAAATATACTGACAGATTCGGCTTGATAAGTTGCATGTTAGCTGGGAATTACAAATGTGTTCGTTGCTACGTGACATGCCCTTGAATTATCGATCAGAACAACATGGATAACATTTGGTTCAGCACTCACTGTGAATGTCAAGGTCACACTGGCATCACTAACACTTGTGGAGCTAAATGACGTTATTGAAAACCTCCACAACAGCGTGAGAGACACTCACTGCCCAGTCCCATTATTGAACAGGTTCACACTGGTGGGGTTCGTATTCCACGCTGGCTGCTGATACTCAAATCTGGCGTCCGCGTCATCGACCATCTCTGTTACTAGCTGGATCCCGCTAAATTCAGTCTGCCAGACCACCTTTGATGAGCAACAACAATGAGCCGTTGAACTGGTCAAAGGTTAGACACACTCTACCATGTCGATATCAACGTAGAGGTTCCCAGTGGCAGTGTTTGTAATCGATACCGTATGTGACCCTTGTGTCAAGCCACTCTGGTTGAAGAGCACTTGTTGAAATAGATTGACATTTGATTGGCCAGTGTTTCCCGCAAAACTTGCGCCGTCAACCATCACGGTGTATGTACCATGATTCGACCTTTTAGCACCATATATCCAGAAGGCCGTGCCGTTGAAGGAGAATGTGGCGACGCTTGATGTTACGTTCGATGTCTGGAAGGTCCCGCGGAAGTATCTGAGAATAGTTGTTATTCATCAATCGCAAAGCAAATGATATAAAACACATACTGGTCTGCTAAAGGGTCATCCCCAGAGTTCCCCGGAGCCCAGGTAGAATCATAGTGTATCAAAGGAGATTTATCGTCGACGAGAAATGAAACCGACGACATCTTAGGCAAGTAAGTGCAAGGGGGAAAAAGAGGTCGAAGCTCATCCAGTGGTCCTGTTGTGCGGTTCAGCGGCTTTTTTGCTACCTTGGGACAACAAAATCATTTACTTTATACTGGCGGTGATCGGTTAATCTTTGGTAATACCTACAACCGAACATCTGCACAGGTTAGCCTATCCGCACGGTTTTGTCAATGGAAGTTGATATTCAGCGCTCTGGTTCCTATAGCATTGAACAGGTACTACAGCGACTGATCAAAGATGATCAGATTAGAGGCATATGTGTGCAACTGAAGCTGCAGTGCCTGGACGGCTGTGTTGCTTCATCTTGGTATGGAACTCCCAAAGCGCTAGGAAACACATATCAAAATACAAGGGTCACTTTGAGTGTAGAGAGTGTGGGGTCAAATGTGGGAAGCAGGATGACTGTCTGCTGACTACATGTAATACTTCAGGCACTACAAAGACAGCCACAATTTACGTAACTCAAACTTCGGATTGTAGTCGGATGTAATATTGCAAGTAGAATTGCAACTAGTTAGTGCATACTTGACGAGAAAGATTCTTATGACCATAATCCTTGCAAGGCGAGCTAGACCAGAAGAAACGAAGGAAGTAGTATGTGCCACACTGTTCGCCAATCAGGGCTCAGGTTGAAAGCGCTTAGCGCTTAACTGAGTGTCACGTATTCACAATTCGATCGATTGATACAAAGTATAAAGATCCGAGTCACTGATATCGCGACAAGCTTTCCAACGAAAAAAGCAAGAACTGGGACTGTCATTTCATGTGAAGGTAAGGTGCACATACATCAAAAACATATACCATAGGCGATGCATGCAACTGTGGTCAGGCTCGAGACGCAATCTAGGAAACCTTCAGTACCTGTGTTCACAGAAACTACTCTCAAGAAGGAGGAGCTCCGCGCGCCTCGTGATATCCTGGGCATTTTATATCAGAAATTGATGCAAGTAACACCATAGATTACTCACCACCCCTGTCTCCACGTCCGCGCCCGCGTCCCCTGCCACGTCCACGATTTTCGTCGCTTCGCCAGTCGCCATCAAACCGGCCACCCCGCTCAGGCCGCTCACCACGCTCGACCCGTTCACCACGCTCGACCCGTTCACCACGCTCGACCCGCTCAGGTCGCTCACCACGCTCGACCCTTTCACCGCGCTCGCCACGTTCACCACGGTAACCTGGGAAAAATGGAGTAAGTGGAAATCATGAATAAAATGATCAAGACAGACCACCGCGCTCGCCGCCTCTGTAACTGCCACGGAAGTTCCCTCGATCGCCACCGCGAAATTCACCCCGCCCACGGTAGCGCCCACCGCGTCCCTCCCCACGGAAACCTCTGCCACGTCCACGACCTCGTGGCTGTGTGAAGCCATCATTCTCAGGCTCCGGGGCAGTGGCAGCGACAACTTCGATGCCATTCGTAGGTGCAGGTACGGGTTCAGCAACAGGAGTGGCTGATCCTGAAGGAGCAAAACTCGCTTGTAGATTTGCGATCGATGGCAGACCACCTTCCTCGTCCGCCTCGGCCCAATCAATTGGTTGCGCGGGTGTGCCCTGCGGAGTCAATGATCATTATGATCTGAAGCATACTGTATCTTTGGGTGAATGTCTAACTTACATCGTCTTTCACAAATGAAGGTGTGGGTTCTTCGTGCTCGAGAACGCCATTCTGCGTCAGCTCTATCTCGGATTTCTCAACCCACTCAGCGGTATTCTCAAAGTCAGCGGTCTCAAGCTCGCTCGCTTGCATGAAATGGAAGCTACCAGTGCCACTCAGAATGCTGGTGGTGGGAATACCAGCAATAGGTTGAGATTCAGTGTGCGAGTTACTTGAAGGCTCGGAGGCAGCTTCCGTTGCTGCATCAGGCTCTGCCGGTAAGGGTGTTGGTTCACGAGGAGGATTGAGGAATGACTGCGCAATATCCAGTAGCCTTGCATCTATCAGACTGTCAGTTCAATCCTGGATTATTGAGTCCGAGGAATGCTCTTACAAGAAACACCATTGCAGTCGCCTTGTCCGAAGAGAAGAGCGGACAAGACTATTTGCTTGAGTTCAGACTCCTCAGTGATGAGGGTCGAGCAAACAGAAAATATTGCTTCTCCTTCAGCCTCGTTAAAATCAAGAGCAACGGGAAGAGGCTGGCGATTTGAGAGACATGTATGCAGACGGATTAGAGACAGTATAGCAGAGGTTTTGCCAGCTAACGATGCCTAGAAGAACTCAGCTACAAAGCTCATCAATCACAATCAATTCCCTACCTCGGCAGCAGCAACAGAGTCGGCGACTCTGACAGCCTCTGCAGCTTCAGCCTCTGCACGTCTGGTTGCCGTTTCACGTGCAAGGTCAGCTTCGTGGGACTGGTACATAAAAAGATTTATTATTTTTGTCGATGAGTAAATGATGGTATCGTTCGAACCTCAATCAGTTTTTTGACATCTTCTAGTTCTTTGTGAACGGCCTCCAACAAAGGAAGGGTCTTCAGAGTTCGCTTTTGATCATCGTTTAGTTTTTCGTGCTCCATTGCTGCATAACTCGCTACGCGGGACTGGAAGACATGTCAGCTACCTGGTGCCGAAGCTAGAATGCACGATGATAGTTTCACGTACCATCTTCTTGTTCATAGCTTTTAAGCGCTTTTGGAGAAGTTCTACAACCGGACTAGATTTGGGGGTGAAATCGTCGAAGGTCGGAGCTTCAGAAGGTGCAACAAGTTCTGGAGCGACTGTACCCTCCTTCACATCCGCCTCTTCTGGTGCCCGGTCAACGAGAGCAGCAGAAGTAGCATCGGGAATGATGACAGAGCCCTCGGCAGGCGAGTCTGCAGTTTTTGGCTTGTGTGATCGACGTTTTTTCTTTTGAGTTTTCGCCTGTGACGTAGGAGGGAGAGCACCGGGAACAACACGGACATTTGGAGCATCGGCCATATTGAAAAGTAGATAGTAGGAGATGGGCTAGTGGAAGAGCAAGAGTAAGGGCAGACAACTGAATTGTGCTTGAACAAGTCACAAGAGTAAGTCAAGGGCAAGCTGAAAATTCAGATTCTCACGGTTGATGTACATCGATCTGCTCTTCGCCATCAAACACGCTGCCAGATAGTAAGCCATATCATCGCCATGAATGCGGCAGATTTCAGCACTAATAGGCACTCCGCGAACGTGCAAATGGCCATGCACATGGCAAGCAAACATACGGATCTTTGCTTCAACGATGGAAATATAGTCTTGCTCGCGGGCATGTCCTATTTCTTAGTTCATCAAGGGCTCCTAGCACGGCATTCCGAGGTTCTGGATGAACTCATGCGCTCCATGGACAACACTCCGACACTTGAAGACCGCCCAGTCCTTACCTTACCAGATTCATCTACAGATGTAGCGCACTTCTTGAAAGCGATGTATGATGGAATGTTAGAACACGCGTCTTTCTCTCTCCGTGCTAGCTGACGTACAACAGATCATTCTTGACTTATAATTCAGAGGGATTTCCAACACTTTCAGGCCTCCTCCGCATGTTGACCAAGTACAAAGTGCACCATCTCCGGAACGATGTCTTACGCGGACTCTCCAACTACTGGCCTACCACCCTTACCCAATGGGACACGCGTGAGGCCTCTGTGACCGGACAAGATGGTACCTATACACCACGCGATTCTCTGCCGCACCCCATGTTAGCCGAGTTGACTAATTGCCTGCTTAGTGTTGACCACTTTTTGAATCAGAGAAATCATTAACCTCGCTCGTGAAATCGATTACCTACCACTTCTGCCATCTGCGATGTACGACCTAACCCGTTCCACTCCAAGTGAAGCTGCGATTGGTTTTGTATCACCCTTCACCGGCGTAAACGTCAGATTAGAATACGCCGATCTTCTGACCGTTCTCAAAGGTCGCGAACAAGCTTCTCGTTTTTTCTCAACGTTCATCGTCAACAACCTGGAAGGAAGGCAACCTTCTCAATGGTGTCTACGTCGCAAGGACGGCCACCCTATCAATAAGAGGACCTGTCAGATTGCGTTCGAGGCCATCACGTTCGAACTTCTGCGAGACATCAATGGTATAATCAGTAATCGGACCTCGGACCCACTGTACGCGATGGCCGAAGCAGAGCAAATGCAGATCCGCGACGACCTGTTGAACAGCGAGGTTTCTCCCATGAAAACGTGCGAACACTGTCGGGTGGAGTTTGGAGCGGTAGTTGATGCAGCAAAAGAAGACTTCTGGAAAAAGCTACCCAAGTGGTTCGATATAGACGTCTCCCCCTGGGGTTAATGTTGATTCTTGTCTGGTCAATCTGTTTCTTATTCGTTTTGTACTCTGGTCCAATGAAATCATTGAAATGTCCTTTCCATCAAATATTGGTTCTTGACTGGGCACGTGATCGATGGATTCATGATTTAGTGAGCATGTGATCTACTTGTGATCTACGCGTCACAACCTGTCACGACTTGCCACCTTGATTCTTGAATGCTCTTCTGAGTCTTCAAAGCTTCATTCATGGCTTCAATTCTCGATTCCAACACGGTTCTACAGCATCCAGCTACTGAGGAGACTCACGATGAACATACCTCTGAGTTACATAATGAGCAAGTCTCTGAGGGTGATAGCGACTGTGACGTATCCGATGGTCTGACACATGGATATCAAAATGCAGAGTCAGGTTCGGAGGAGTCGGTCGAAGGCAACAAGGAGGATCCTTTGCGGTACGTCTGATATAAGTGCCCCATTATTTACTGATAGGCCCGGTAAGTTTCGAGGCAATACAAAAAATCGAACGACTAGCGTTGTCGTTTCTTGAACAACTTGCTGGTTCACTACCAAACCAACGAGCTGATATAACGTCTATCGGAATTTCTCAGATACCTATCAACTCAAGATCAAAATACCCCAAAATCGAGCTTCAGTTAGCCGACCGTCATAAAACATCCGAATGGTAATGTCTTTACTCCGGGTCAAAGTCCGCTGTTGCAGTCCCTGATGTGCCAGTGTTTTTAGTATCAGAGTTATACGATACCCCCTTAAACGAAAAGGAGCGAGTATAAAGCCATTCGGTTGGTCTCGTAGTCGTTTCATGATGGCTTCATTTTCACTAATGACCGTTTGCACACAGCGCAGATTTTACGTGTCATGGACTTCGCTCACCAAGCCCTAGTTGACAATGTACCATTAACAAAGCGGTATCCGTCTTTATGAAGCTTGAGAAGGAACTAAGAAGAAGCTAACCGTGTTCCTAGTGACATGTACTACAAGGATGTCCCCCTCTTCAAAGCTCAGGGAACTGTTGATCGAGTGCGTTATCTGGGCACGGAGTGTCGCCGTTTATATTCACTGATGTCAGCTCGTCGATGATCTTGCCTGTGACATTGGACCTAGAACGGGCCGACCTCAAAATTGTAACCTCTTTGTCACCTTATCACAGATATAATTCCTTCAACGTCGTTCTAGCGCGCTGCATCGAAGGGCCTTATATGCGGCACTGGGCTGACAATTCACCTTCTCGAAGGCAAAGTGATTTCTATTAACGACTTAGAGGTGGATACATGTTCCAGAAAGACAAGTCCAGATTTTGAATGTGGTTGTCAGGGAACTTTGATACCTACGGGTGAAGCCATAGAGCGATTTGAGCTGAAAGAGGATATTTCATGGGTCCTTGTGGTCGAAAAAGAGGTATTTCCTGGAGGCCAGTTCCTTATAGGAGATGTTGATCTGGTTCTCATTCTAGGCTGTCTTTCAAACGCTGTGTCGTTTTCAGTTTGCAAGCCACCAGTCGCTTCCCGGTCCTGGGCTCATAATCACTGTGACTAAGTGGTATGATACTAGCTGCGTTGCTGCTTATATGCTTCCTCCAGGGTAAGGGATATCCTGACGTGGCCACCCGACAACTCGTGAAAACCTTGTCAGACAACCTTCCAGCGCAGTGAGTCAAAGCTGCAGCGTTTCCACGTGCTCATCATCATATTCAATAGCATTCCGATCGTTGCACTTGTCGATGGCGATGCGTATGGACTCGACATTCTATCGGTGTACAAGTACGGCAGTCACAGCCTACGACATGAGAACGAAAAACTCGCAGCAAAACGAATCGAATGGCTTGGCATCTGGGCATCCGAAATTGCAGAGTAGATACTGATGACTTTCTACCCCCATATTTCGCTGAAGTGGCTCACTCTCATAGCCTCGAAATTGATTTGGACACACTGATCCCGATCACACTGCATGATGAGAAAAAGGTAAGATGAACTTTATTGCTTCACCATGATTTCAATTCTGTCATTATCCTCCGTAGGCGCTCGCAGTACTCAGCCGTGCCACTGATGTTGTGCCCACGAAATGGAGGCAGGTGTAAGTTTCATACCGCAACTCGATACTGAATGTGCCCACAGAAAAGAGCTTACGCGGATGCTCCACATCCGAAGGAAGGCCGAAATCGAGATTCTGTCGGGTTCCTCAAGTCAAAAGTCTAACTCCCTTATACATTACTTGGCTCATAAAGTCTGCCACTTCATCGAGATGTCTGCCTGACGGTAATTCGAATGCCAGGCATACTCACAGCTCTTTGGCACAATAGTCTTTGAAAACACTCCAGAGTTTATGGGCACGGTGTTACAACGCAGCGTAACTGTCGTGAGTGTGCCAAACGTGTAGAAAATAGAACGACATACATACGAGAGTACTTGTATCATGCAATCAAGGCTCATTACCACCAGAAGATCAGTAAAACTGAAAATAGGTATATAGGAGTCTAAGACAAATAATGAGAGAGCTGAGTTATCGCAGTATAGTTCGTGGTTACTCAAGTGGCGGAGGGTCCTACAGTCCTTCCTAGGCTCCAAGACATTAATCGTGCTCGAGCTCGAGCCGCTTCCGATGCTAAGCCAAAGCTGTGTGGAGCGATAAGAACGGGGGCTCCCGGGAGTTGCTCGAGCCACCGACTAGCGCACTAAATATTTTCATCGTTGCAACACTCGCAAGAACTGAAGCATCATAAGGATTTGCAGGTACGAGAGATGCGTGCGCAACGGTGGGTACAGATGCTAAGCGCTGAGGATGGGTAGGCACACCTTTCTTAGCTATTGGTCGAGAGTACACAGATGACTGACTCAGACTTTTGATTAATATTGTTTGTATGCCAGCCTTCAGCAGAGTGTGAGGGAATCAGCAAGGTGAAACAATAAGAATATTAACAACTAAAATATTAATATAATATGAATGGAGCGGGCCTTGCCTTGAGGAATAACAATGCCTAGTAGAAACAAGGACTGCCAGCAGTTGGACGCTGCAGCCTCGAGGTTTGACGAGACAGACCCGAGGGTCTTCAAACTCCAGATTCCATGTATTTATTGCAGCATTCCAAGAAATAGTCTAAAATGCGAGAAAAAAAAGTGAATTATTGCAAGGTAGGTTGTGATGTCCACTAGAATATTATTCTGGCGGAAAGTCCTACTATTCTTGAGCATCAAGACTGTGTTCAACTTTGAGTTGCTCGAGCTACCGACTAGTAACGTAAAAAAATGCCCGTCAATGCGGCAATTGCAGGGACCCGAGCGCCATAGGGTCTAGAATGTGTTCGTGAAAAGCCTGTGGACGCATCCGACGCAGAGCGGGTGGGCGCTGAGAATGTGTTGGCAAGTATTTGTTATCCATGACAGGGGCTCCTCGCAGATACAGGGTATAAATTTCGATACAAGAATCATCGTTCATCAAGGAGGCAGCCCTTGGGATGCTCAGAAGGGGCGGAGAGTGCGAGATATCAGGTGGATACGGATGCGCAGTGTCCAATCGAGGTGAACTCGGAGGTGGAGGCAAAACTCCTCTTGAGAGAGAGGAAATGGAATTGTGAGGGCAATATTGACTAACTTCCGATGAAGAAATGGTAGGTTCATCCATGATTCGATCCCAAGGGCGAGAAGACCTTTTCCTGAAATAACAAACTACCAGTGCGGATAATATCAAAGAAAACACTGCTATTAAGTTAGTATTTTGTAGAGGAAGACTCGGACGACGACGTCTTACTTATTCCACATGATAAACTAGCCCGCGCCCCAGTGCTAAGCCCATGGCCGGCAGTTGAAGTCACGCCATGTACACTGTGCTGCCCCAAGCTTGAGGAACTGGTACCACTAGTAGTACTTGCATAACTTAAGCTGGAGCTGGTGGACATGTCTGTATTGGCAATTGTAGAGACAGAGCTGGACTGGGTAATCGAGGTGGAACTGGAATGAGTAGTGATTGTGAAGGTGGAGGTGGAGGTGGGGTGGGGGTGGGGATGAAATCGGAGAAGGAGAAGAAGCTGGAATCGAGGAAAAAGCTGGAGCTGGAGTGAGTAGTGAATGTGATGCTGGTGCTGAACTGATTGATAGAAGTGGAGGTACTGGTAGTATGATGTGTGGTTGCAATGCTAGATATGTCGTCGTCATCGTCGTCGTCATCGTCGTCATCGCTCCCGCTCCCGTTATCGCGGGCGGGCATGAATCTAATGAATTTGAGATGACGCCGATCTTATATTTTTACACGAACTCACACTGGCTCTCGCAGGTGTGAACTGTTGGCTGCAGCCGCGACGGACTGCAAGGCGAGAACAAAAGCCAAGACTGGAAGCAAGCGGGACATGCCCGGTGGCCTTGCAAAAGGCGGAGAGCGCCGAACGTGGCGGGCAAAGGAAGCGGTTTGAAAAGCATGGTCATATGCATGGTACCGAGTATTGTGGTCGGCATTGACGTGAAGTGATGTTCTTCTAGAATCGGTCCGCACGAAGCTGGGGAATAGCGTATGTAAGTAGCTCGAAGAATGATAAAGATCTAAGGTGGAGATTACCTGATTCTGATCCACACGCGCTCGGAGAAGCTGAACTGATGGAACGGTAATACGCGATTTAAAACATTTTTGACATCAGAATGAGGATATTCGTCACTGGAAGCCTATGTAATCAAACCACGTCAACGGCCGTAGCGATAAGAGTTGACTTATGCCATAATAATACTGTAGAGTTCAAGTACGCACCCGGTGACTTGCTTGTGTTCGGTAGAGTTCCGAGTTACGGCTGAATTTGTTTGGGGACGAACGTTACATCATGTGATCTATAACGAGAGACGCCAGCCTTCAAGCTTCAAGCTTCAGCAGAGCAGGAGTTGACCAGCAACGTGGAACTACCGGAGAATAGAAACTACAAAGGACTAGAACTCGTGGTTCCTTTGAGCACCTCTTAGGAACGAGTTACATAGCTGCCGAGGCCTCGATCGATTATCAACGAGCTTTACAAATCTGTCCTGTCAATGTCCAAGGTTTTACATAAATATTTATCAGAGTATGTGAAGGAAATAATTCAAAGTGAGGAAGAATTGGATCATCGCAATGTATAGTGCATGACGCACACTCAAGAAGGATATTGTGGTGGAGGCTCCTGCAGCTCTTGAGCCTGGTCAATACTCCGGTTCTTGTATTCGAGTTCGAGTTCCTTCTGATGTCGAGCCATATCTGCATGAAGCGCCGAAAGCTGGCGTTCAGACTGGGAGTTGCGTGAAGTACCGACCGCTGGCAAATCAAAGCTGGCCATCACTGCAGCACTCGCGGAGGCATTATGGGGTATTGAATGTGCTCGAGAATAGTATGATGCAGGGCGAGCGGGTGCTGAGAATGGGTCGTGAGGATTTGGGAGATCAGGCACATCTTGCGTAGCTATTCGCTGAGGGCCTGTCGCCCGCGACAACGTGCTGTGGCGGTTCTGAGCAGATACAGGGTATGAATTCTGATGGGACCCTAAAGTAGCGGCACTCGAGATATGAGTTGAAGCCGGATACTCAGTATCCAACCGAGTTGAAGATGGAAGTAGAGGGTTTCTCCCTCGGGATGCAACAGATTGAGGGGGAAGGTATCGCCTGGCTTCCTTCGTCACAAAGGCAGGCTCGTCATCGGCTTGCTCCCGAGCTCTCTGGTATCGTCCCTTCAAATTGTAGAACAACAGTACGGATAATATCAAGAAAAACACTGGAATCGAGTCAACATTTATGAGGGAAAGGGTTGTAAAACGTCAGTTTACCTATCCCAACTGCTAGCCCAGCTCCCGCTCCAGTGCTAAGCCCTTTCTGGGACGAGTTTGAGGAACTTGTGTTAGTCGTGTTTACGTAACTTGAGCTAGAGCTGCTTGTAGTGCTGCTAGTAAATATGGAACTGGACGGAGTGGCGATCACAACTGGTGGTCCACCAGTAGGTGTGGGGCCTGGTGGTGGTGTCAATGGACTCAACGACAATGTCATCGTTATCGATTAGTAGCCTGAGAGAGGCTCGAACCTGGAACTTCTTCGATGGAGGCATCTCGTTACCTCAATTATATGTGAGCACACCGAGTCATACCCGAGCCATGCCCGAGGCCTACGTATGCGTAGCCCAGTGCCCACCACAGGAAGTTCCCGTTTCATCAAACTGTGGAGATGGCAACTTATTTGTGGCATTCCATATTTGAAATTGAAGATATCGGCCTATCAAGATTCACAGATTGACTTCGACTTCAAGCTGGAAGAATCAGCCGAACCAATTAGATTTTGAATATTGTAGATTTGTGGAACCGCTTGAATGCTTCCTTGAACTTCAGCTGCGCAGGAGGGTATTGGCATTTGGCAAGGTAAGATAACCGGAAGGACGTAAACTACGATCAGTTGAGCATACATGCTGTGGAAGGGGAGCTGATGGATTTCAGTAGAAACAAATGTGGAAAGACAATCATATACTAGGGAGAGGCACTGAAGCAAGTAAGGTAGCGCAATAAGTAAATCGACGGTTATTGAATATTGAATTCCCCGAAGACCGATAAACTTCAGTGAAGCCGCCTCCGATGAATGATCTAACTCTTTAAGTAGGGACAAGCGAATACCTAGTATGAGGAACGAAATTAAGTAGCGGCGGAGGCCTCAATCGATGATCGACAAACGTTACAAATCCATGTGCTGTTCAAAGTCCAGGCTTTGAACATTTTATCAGGATACGTGAAGGAGTAGTTTCAAAGTGGGGTACAGCTGGATATATATCGCGCGTGGCAGACATTCAAAAAGAATATTTTGGCGGAGGGTGGTGTGGTTCTTGGGCCTCATCAAGATTCCATTTCCTCTGTTCGAGTCCGTTCTGATATCGAGGTATTTCTGCATGAGACGCCAGTAGCTGGCGCCCAGGCTGAGAGTTGCTTGAACTACCGGCCGCTTGGCACACTTGAAGTGGCCATCATTGTAGCATTTGCCGAGGTTTCATAGGGTATTGAATATATTGGAGAATAGTACGATGAAGGACGAGCGGGTGCTGAGGATGGGTATTGGGAATTTGGATGTGGATGTGGAGGGTTTCCCCCTTCCGATGCCGAAAAAGCAGGTTTATAATCAGCTTTCTCCCGAATCCTCTGATATAGTCTCTTCAAGTAGTAAAACAGAACTATGGATAATAATAAGAAGAACACTAAATTTGAGCAAGAAAAAAGTCAACATTTTGGAGGGAAACGCTCGTAAAATGACAGTCTACCTATCCCAAATCCTAGTCCAACTCGCGCTCCAGTGCTGAGCACTTCGGTTTTCTTGGACGAGCTTGAGGAACTTGTGACAGTCGTGTTTGAATAACTGGAGCTGGAGCTGGACTGGGTAGAGGTGGTCCTAGAACTGGTATGAGTGGTGGCCAGGCGAACTAGTACTGGCGAAGTATGTGTAGGTTCAGATTTTTCTGTCATCGTTCCAAGGTTAACGTTCAACGAAGACTCGAGCGTACGATGCTTTACGAGGGAAGGACTGAAAGACAATCAACAGATATCGAGGGTTGACATCATGCCCTAGCGGGCCGCCAGCCCGAGCCACCGAGTCCCACTCGAGAAGCGACGCCACTACCGTTCGCATAGAACTTTCCTTTTATGGTCTACGTACACTCGAATTGGCCTTATCGAGACTGACGTTGGCTTGGGAGAAGTGGCCGAACTAGACTTTCACTACAGATCTGGGAAAAAAGGTTGGACCGCTTGAATTCTATATGAGAGATTCCAGCTTCAGTATCATAGGAAGGGATGAACAACAGCAAGGTATAACTCGAAGGGTATAAACAACGATCAGCAAACAACAAGTACCTATAGAAACAAGTTGTAATGAAACCTCAAGCTTTACTGCTACTGTTCGAAATTCAGTCCATACACAAGTATCTATGACAGCAGTTAAAAATAGTGGGAAACTGTTCAATCATCGCATTACAGTCCATGATTCATAGTCAGGAAGAATATTGCGGCGGAGGGTCCTGTACTTCTTGAGCATCAAGACTCCGCTTCCTGTGGTCGAGTTCAAGTTGCTTCTGATGTAGGGTCATATCTGTGTGAAGCGCGGAAAGCCGGCGCTCGGGCTGGACGTTGCTCGAACTACTGGCCACAGGTGTAGCAAAAGTGCCCATCATCGCAGCACTAGCGGGAATCAAACTACCATGGGGTATCGAATGTGTTGGAGAAGAAGCCGTGGATGTGTATGACGCAGAGCGGGCGGGTGCTGAGAATGGGTCGTAGGGGTTTGGGAGAATAGGCGCATTCTGAGTAGCTATTTGCTGAGAATCTGATGCCTGCGATGATATGCTGTAGCGGTTCCAAGTAGATGTGAGGTGTGAACTTAGATGCGAATTCTCGCTCAGTAAGGGAGCGGCGCCTGAGATTGCTGACAAGGACGAAGAGTGCGAGATATCAGGTGAATTGAGATATGCGGTATCCAGTTGAGGTGGAGGTGGAAGGTCTCTCTCTCTCGATGCCACAGAGTCGGGGGGACGGTATTGACCCACTTCCGAGGACAGAAGGGCAGCTTCATAACCGACGCTCTCCCGAGCCCTACGAGATCGCTTCCTTAAGTAACACACTAGCATTGCGCAGAATATTAAGAGAAACACTGGAAACACTGAGTCAATATTTTCGGGAAAGGCTCAGATAATGCCAGCTCACTTATCCCAAATGCTAGACCAGTGCGTGTTCCAGTGCTAAGTCCTTGACTAGTAGTTGAAGACCCATTGTTCTGGGATGGGCTAGAGAAACTGGTATAACTCGAACTGAAGCTGGTTAGCGTGCCTGAGGTAGTAGCTGTGGAGCTCGACTGAGATGTAGATGTGGTGATCGTACTGGTGGAAGTCGTACTGGAGGTGGTCGTACTGGAGGAGGTCGTACTGGAAGTGGTCGTACTAGTAGAAGTCGTACTGGAGGTGGTTGTACTAGTCGTAGTGTGCGATGTAGTGGATGTACCATCATCATCATCGTCATTGTTATCACCACTGTCTGGTTCATCGCGAGGAGACATAAGTCTGGTTCGAGGATGAGAAGAAAATCCGCTGGTAGTATCACATAAACTCACACTGGTTCTCGCAGGTATACAGCGTGGCCCGCAACCTCAAAAGACTGCAAAGCGAGAACGAAGGCCAAGGCTGGAAGCGAGTGAGACATGCCTATGGCCAGATTGTCTGTGATATTCTGCCAGGGCAAGGAAAAGACGGGCAGCAACAAATATGATGGAATATAACGTCAGAAAAGCTTGCCCATGGGTGCCGAGTACTGTGCGCAGCATTAGCATGGAATGCAGTCGGAAGCCTAATGCCGCTCAAACACCACTCCATCATGATGCCAGTCACAGTTTCCCCCCAGATGCACTTCGAACAGGTAGTGCTCGCAAGCTGAGGTCCGAGTGGGAATCAGAGGAATTGATTGCAGCTGCTTCTTGACTGCTACGCTGCCAGATTATACATGCTGCTGCTAAGCCGAAGAATACTATAGCTACATGTATGTAAGCTGACAAATTTGGGACGCGAAATCTAAGGTTAGCACAACGCGAATAAAGTCACATGACTTACGCGTCCAAGCGCGTCGCGTTGAAATGAGTGATCAGCGGAGCTTGAAATTTGGAACCCGCTATGCGAATTGTCCTACTGTCAAAACTAGTACTTTCAACTTGTCCATTCACAAGTCTCTTGTCAACGTCCATCTGGTACTTAAGCGACGTTTAGTCTTCTCTAGTCATCGTCACTCACAACACAGGCCGTGTTACTCTCAATCCTCAATTATGCAAACACGGTCATCTCAAGGTTCAGTCCTTGGAAAGCGTGCTCATCATGTCGATCAAAAAGCTGTCTCATCAGCATCGTCAAGCGACGTTGTAACAGTATCGCAGCACATGCTTACCCCAGAACAGAGCCCCAAATCGAAACGTGCCCGTATCTCGCTCTCCGGCATTGCTGGAGATTCAAACAAGGAAAACGTACCTCCGTTCCGTACTGACCCGTGGAATGACGCAACAGTTGACACACCACGTGCCATCCACACATTAGTGATATCTACTCCCCCACCAACACCCCCAGTCTTACTACTTCCTATATACACCCGTGCTCGAGGACTACTTCGTTCGACCAGCACGAGTGTATCTTCTATAGCTGGCCGAGAGGATGAACGACAGCGCATTCTAGAATTCATCACCTCATCCTGGGGTGATAGTGCACACACGTCTTTGTACATCTCCGGTACACCTGGAACCGGAAAGACTGCGCTTGTCAACTCGGTCCTGCGTTCGTTCGAAAAGTCCGAAGGGACGTCCGATCTGAGAGTTATCTCTATTAATTGCATGGCCTTGAACGGGCTGGATGCCCTCTGGGATCGTCTTTATGAAGAATTATATCCCACAAGGGATTCCAAGAATGCTGCAAAACCTTGCAAAGCCAAGGGCAAGCAGGCGATCGACAAAGTGCTCTCTAGTTTAAATTATAAGTGGTATGTACTAGCACCACTGCTCATTTCGTCATTTGACCTCGGTACCAGCATTATTGTACTTGATGAACTCGACCACATTGCATCCTCAAATCATACACTTTCGTCAATTTTCTCCATGTCCCAGCAACATCCGTCCACCCTCCGCATCATCGGAATTGCAAACACACACACCCTCACGTTGTCCTTGGCACAGTTGTCTGCTAGTGAAGCTTCCAGCGCCCTGACCCTTCACTTCGGCGCGTACTCCTCCCAGGAACTACTCCAAGTGCTGCAAGCACGTCTCTCACCTCTCTATGATAATCTGGAATACCCAGAAGTAACAGATCAAGCCAAAAAGTTTCTTCCTGCTTCAACATTAACTCTCCTCACGAAAAAAATTGCCTCGCAAACTGGTGACGTTCGAACCTTGTTTGAGGTACTTCGGGGGGCAATAGACCTGGCTGTCGCTGGTTCAAAGGTCCCAGATGCAGATACAAATCCTCTCACCATTCTACCTCTCATCGTTAAACCGGATCACATTCTTGCAGCCCTCAAGGTGTATCTACCTTCCACTGGCGGTGGTCGCTCCTCTTCTTCCTTGGCACCATCCCCTACTAGCAATGAGACCGTGTCCAAGATCCGTAATCTTGGCCTGCAAGTCAGGCTGGCTCTCCTATGCATACTTCTTGCATCAAAGCGGATGGAGGCCAGTTTGTCTCTCTCTGCATCCACTACCTCGACGCCTACCAAGTCTCCTGTGAAGCGCGCAGGTTCCGTCGTTTCCCAAAGGATCACTGGGCTTGATGTTGCACAGCTCCATGCATACTACTCAACTGTGCTCACACGTGCAGATAGCGACATCTTCACTCCAGTTTCCAGAAGCGAGTTTTCAGACCTGATAGGGATGCTAGAGACCATAGGACTCGTGGCGTCGAGGTCTACCCGCATGGCAACTGCCTCTCCATCGAGGACTGGCCGTCGTATGCTCGGTCGAGCTGTATCGTTTGGCGGAGTAGCGAAGGGAGCTGCAGCAGGCCAAGACATCAAGCTCGCAGAGACCGTTCGCGTGGATGAGGTCCTGCGTGGCCTGGGTCTGACTGATGGCTCTGCTGCCAGCGATGTGCGTGAAGAGGAAGTCAGGGCTATATGGGCCAGGGAATGTGGCCGCATCGCACGAGAATCGAAAGCGAACTCAGTGTCAGGTATGGGCGGTGACAAACCTTTCGATGAAGCATTTGAAGATTAGATACAACTAAACGCCTCCACCTCCAAGTCGGTACCATGCTGCTACTATGTAGCCACTCAGTAAACTTTGCGTTATTCATTTCTTATGACTAGTGTCTATTTTTTATGGTTATGTCTTATACGATACAGGAACTCATACTACGCATCATCTCATGTAATATTTGATAAATCACTGCATTAGTACCGCAATCATTTTACGAATTCAAGTTCTTCCACCATTCGTTGATGTCGAGGCGTAATATAATGTGGCGCAAAGCCTCCACACCACCAGGGGCATGACGAACATCGCTTTGTTCCTGTAATGCAAGCAAGAGTTCCTGGCGTTGCGATGATTTCAAATCCTTTTCCAGCAGGACCTCCAGGACTTTGATCTGCAACCGAAAGATCTGTAATCAGCCTACTGGTTTCATATAGTAAAGCAGTCAACTACGTACCAGGGTCGATATTTTATTACGAAATGCAGCAAAGAGTACATCGAGAGCTGATGACGCCTGGTACTCCTGCAACCGCCCGTCGTTGAGGTCACCAATCATAACGCAGAGCTCTAGGATAAGTTCTAGGCTCCCACGAAGAAGGTCACCAGCTGCTCGTTGGGCCGAACGCATCAAACAAGCACTTAGAATGTCGTTCAAGACAGCGGAGTGAGCCTCGGCGAGCGAAAAGACATCAGTAAACTCGGAGCTTGTTCCCAAACGACATGCAGTGATTCGAGCCAGGAATGCGTCGAAGTTGCCCCCAATTGCCACATCGAATATATACGCGGAGAGGGTGGTTACGAACGAATGCGCCATGAAACGGAAGTGAGTGAGGAGTTTCCTGGATTGGTTTAAGGTCGGAAAAAGTACATCCTGATGCGTCATGCGGAAAGCCGCTCGAATGGCAGACTCCACTATACAGTTTTCGTTGAACGTATGTCGAAGTATGAAACAAGCATGGCTCACCTCTTATCACACGTAAAAGGAACGAGAAAATCCTTTGGTATTTGGATGTAGTGTCTGGTGTGATAATTACTTCCAAAGGATGAGGAACTTTGTAGTCAAGATACAGAAAGTCTAATGCCCTGGTCAAGACATTTATGAAGCATGTTCGATCTGCAGCAAAAATGGCGCTACTTACTCGATATCTAAGTACGCATAATGACTTAGCGCAAATGTACAATGCATAGGGAAAACATAGCTTACAAAGTGGGTTGAGCCATCGTTCACGTCCCGTATCGCTAGGGAGGTCTCTGATGGCAAACCCAAGACGAATTTCAGCTTCTTGTGCTATGCGGCTCGACCCGAGTTCATGCTCCTGGCTATCATCGGGGCCAAATGAGCATATGTCCTGAGATTCCACGATAACTGTTCTCAAAAAAAAGCTAAGGTCGGCACCCCCAGGAGGCCACGTCCCTCGCTCTATCAAGAACGGGGCTAAGCCAACAGCCCAATGTCTGGTGCTATGCTGAGCCACTCCAGCGGCAGATCTACTCCTTTGGCGGGACAGGGCGAATGATTTTCCGCCTCCAGCGACAGCCTCACGGTCATCGGTGTCAGAGAACAAAGCAGCTGTAAGTCGTGATTTGAATGATGGGGAAGTCAGGAGCATATGTGAACGAAGCAGAACCAGATGGTCATGTACATAGAGAAATGAGTTCTGGTCTAGGAATATCGACAATAGTGCACTGGAAAGGGAGGCAGCGTGTGAGATGAGCGGAGAAAAGACTAGGCTAGTCAGGAGACCCAGGTTCGGGGTTATTGAAGGAAGGACGGGTGGAAAGGACAGGATAAAATTTTCCAATGCAGCGTGCATTGAGTGCTCATTAAATGTATCATCTCTGTTTGAGCCAGGCTCCAAGTCGAAAAGGCGGAAACCGACGAGGTCGGGCTGATAATCGCTCCCAGGAAGATTACCATCAGCAGAAGCTAGATCAGGGGGACTGTAAGAGCCAATAGTTGGTGCAACATCGCCGACCCCGTCAAGAGACCCTGTTCTCCATAAATCTTCAATGTCTCTAGTTGACCAGACCCAAGGGATGAACGGCCGTCGCACCGAGGGATTCAGTACAGGATGATCAGGTTTTGCGGCAGCGAGCAATTTGAGAGATTTTTGAGCAGCTGGCAATACTTCCGCCAAATCGCGTGGTATAAAAGACGGCAATTCATGATCTTCAGCAAAGAGAACTCCATCATCCTCAGGTGACGCCTGATCAAAGTCTTCGATATCCAACGGACCAACTGCAGTCCGTCGAGGCTGCTGACTCGTTGCCACCTGCTGGTTATTGCTGTCAGCATAGGCAACTGAGCGACACAATGCCTGCAAGTAGTTTTTCGAGGACATCGTAAGGAGATAAGCGAACACAGCAATCAAAGACCGGGAAGACGATTTGCGAAAATGGGTATCAAGATATTTGTATATTCGAGAAAGTAGAGCCACTGGTTTCATCGTAAATCGCGGATATTGCGAGGGAGACAATCCAAGGCCCTGATAGAGCATGTCAGAGGTAAACAAGAAAATGTGAGCGAGCGTACCCTTTGGCAAAGTGACGCTAGAGAGACGACGATTTCTTCGAAAAGCCCATAGTATAGCCATGTTGCAGATAGGGTCTTCGGAGAGACGGGGATGCAGAAGTTAGATAGAGGCCCACGAAAAAGTTGGTCGCGTAGATAGACGAGCACCACGGAGAGCGCATGTGAGAAAGCATGGACCGTTGCATTTTCCTCTTTGCGTCTGCATTCTCATTGAGACAGCGTAATTCATGGGTGGGAATCATGGAACCCACCGTGTTCGTAAAACACTGAGGAATATCTCCAAGCGTCGCATCAAAGTACCAATATCTAAAAATCGCTTTAGGACACTACATTATCGCATTAATAAATACACATGTTGAACTGAAGTTGGCTGCTCACCTACTACTCATCGTCTCATCCTTGCCACTGATAAGCAGCTTGTTTGGCATATTTTCTGCGCCTCCGGATGATAAGAACGTCTCTGAAACTGGATCCCACGTATGCAGAAAAGACGAAGTTCCGAGAACCGTCATTCTCAATGACTCAAGCAGCTCAAGTTCATTCACACAGACTACATTTGCTCGCGGGTCAAACGGCAAAGGTCGCATGCTAGATGTTACGTTTGTCATGCCATTAACAATGTAAAAAAATGAATCTGACTGGTATTGTGCTGAAGCTGATACATCGGAGGACTGTTCGGTCAAGAAGGGAGTGTTGTATGAACGGTCAGGGTGTGATTGGCGCAGAACATCCCAAGAGACAACTTGATCCTAAAATTCATTATTTGAGTTATTATATCACGACACAGGGAGTCCTCACTGAATGTTGATCACCACTTGTCACTGAATTTGCCCATAGCACCTCTGGTGACAAGGAGGGTAGTGCAGGCATATCTTGAGCGAGCGTAATGTCTCTTGAGTCTAAATTACGCGCGTCGCGTTTCTCTAGAGTTGTAGCCTTCTCCCTATCAATTGCATGCACTATGGGGTCTTGAGGTTTGTCGAACATTCGAGGGACAAAGAACTGAGGTGTTATATGTGGCAGGATGCCCAGTGCCAAATCCATGTCATGTTCGTGCTGATTCCAGGTATCGCCACACAGTGACATTTCAAAACACGCGAAGAATATCGGTTGTCAAATGTCTATAGCCTGAGAGGCTGAGTTATTACCTTATGACACAACTTCTGATTGTTGTTTGGTGTTGATTGGCATATCCTTCCCTTCCTAACACGACCAAACATGGAACGGACTCCGTTTGTATCAATCACATTGTGCTCGATTGTGTGAGCTCCTTGCCCATCGTCGCGTCCACGGATTCCACAGACCGGTGAGACATGGCTCAATGGTATTTCAAACAGGGATGTAGTTCCTTGGGCGCCTGGTTTGTTCGGTTAATGAACCATTGTTCATACTTGCACCACTCGAGGAATGGTCCACCGTTTCCATGACAAGCAATACATCCTCAGTGCAATGAGGCTCCAGGTTTATAAACTCTCGAAATGTCGGTACCGCAAGTAACCATCCGTCGATTTTATTGTGATACACAATCTCATCCACATATACGCTACTGCAACCAGCTATGTTTTCCACTCGTCTTGAGTCTGTCTCGAACAAGGAGAACATCAACCCAACTGGATGCCAAGGGAAGCGGTTTTACAAGAAAACAAAGGCGCTCCCATTTGCAGTGATGCCCATATCCGCGAAAGTGAAGGAGAGCCAGTCTGCAAGTACTCTACGGATTAGGCCTTTGGCAGAACAACATGTTATTCGTCATCAACATTCTCTGGGTAGCCTCGACAACTTCGTGGCACTGGATGGCTCTCTATCCTCACAAAGCGCTGACAGCCGCGCCAGGGACTTGACGGAGAGTCCGTTAGCTGAAGTGACAGATGCATTTACCTGTATGTACTGCTGCTTTCATTCCGTCATTTTGACGTATCACGGTCTTCACAATGTTCATTTGAGTCTCGCTCACAGGATGATCCCTACGCGTCGATATTGATATCTACTGTCTTTGATTATTGTTATTGTTTTGCTTTCACGTCAATAGGTAGGTACTAAGGTAGTTGTATGATCAAACGCGGTCATGTGATTGTCACGTGCCACCCAATTATGCCTTGTGCCTTTGCCAGCCTGCACCGTGCAATGAGCACGTCAATATTGTCGTTGGGGCAGTTGGTAGCTCATCTAAATCTGGATCTCCTCCAAGTGTCTAGATTGGCAGAGCCACGCCGGGTGTTTTTGTGTACTAGTCATTTCGGAAGTTGCAGTGTTAGACTGAAATAAAAACCGGACGAGTAGACTACCTGATGAAACGATGAATCAATGTAGTACCTGGTCGTTTGCCATCGCACGCACGCGTTGTTTATTTGTGCTCCCACCGGGAGTAATTGCTAAGTCGCGTCTTACCATCAAGTTGGACATTGTTATATTATCTTTTCCCACCGTTTCCTCATCCTGCCTCTTGCCCATCATATTACTTGCGTGACGTGGTCCTATTTGTTTCAGCCTG